TATATATATTTATTTTAGTGTATTTAATCATCGACTGCTGAGCATCTCTTCTGTCTTCCATTCTCTTTCTCTCTGTCTCTTTTTGTCTTTTTCATTGTCCGATTCATTTGCTTATGGCTTGCGAAAATATGGGCAAAAATTTGGGCAAAAATGTTTTTAGCCTGGCTGACAGAATGGCTTGCTGGCTGGCTGGATGGCTGGACCACCCGGCCAACCCCTTGGAAATGGCGGCGCGTGCACGTCAAACATGCCATTGGGGCTATTCGTTGAGCTTGGTATACGTTACGCTTCACGGTTTTTGTTACATTTAATGCGGGAGATGTGGCTGAGATGCTGGCTCACCCAAAAGCCAGGCAGCCAGCCAGCCAGCCCAGGATGGCCTCCAACCGAATTTCGTCTTTCACCGGATGCTTGAAGGGCCAAGCGACATAAATACTAAATTTGTATTTTGAGCTATGCATATTGGCACATCGACATGAATTCTGTTTGGCTTTGCGAAATCCGCTTAGTCGATGCCGTGCCACGGCCTCGCATAAGTATTCCAAATGAAAATGGCTCTTGATGGTCGCGTTGCCGCACACTTTTCAAATGTAATTACACTCAAGAGATACACGTGCCGGCAATAAGATCTTTGTTGTTGCTATTGTTGATGTTGTTGTTGTTGCCGTTACTCTTCCTCTTCCTCTTCCTCTTGTTGTTGTTTGTTGTGGGCTTTTCAATTTGAATTCGGCTGCCTGAGGCCCATCGGGCTGACAGCACAACAATCCCAAAGCCACAATAACAACAACAACAATTACAGACATTTGCATGCGCGCCAAAATGTTGCCTATCGATATATATTTATATATATGTATATAAGGTATACTCTATAAAGTATATTTTAACGTTTCTTTAGCTCGTAAAAGCGTCTCAGACGACGGCTAAAACGTTTTCTTGGCCAAGTTTGTTTACCTATTGTGAAATTGGATCGCGACTACTAGCCATGGCCAAGGCTTGTGCACGGATGTTTGGAGCATGGCTAATGAGTTTTAGCCAGCAGTTACTTTAATGTAAACGCCATTATTGTTGTTTCTGTTGTTGTTGTTGTTGTTGATGCCCTGTTGCCAGGGCTTCGCGTGACAGCTTCAGCTTCAGCTGAGTCCGGCTCCAGTTGCGAAAACTCGGGGCACAGCCTGTTTATCTGCCAGAATGACTAATGTACTGCAAATTTCGAGAGATTAAGGGCTGAATAGCACAATAATAATATTTAAGATGCTTAACAGAGCGCCGCAGACAATAATTTATAGACTAATGAAGGCGAGTTGAAGGAGCTATAAGAGCGCTCGCTGCTCGACTTGAATCCACAATATCTCATCGGTTGATTCATTTTTGGCACATGTCAAATCAAATTAAATTTTATCCCAATTCCTGCACAAAAAAAAAAGTTAATTGTTTAATTATATAAAAAAAAGTTGATTGAACTCGTGGCGGCTATAAAATTGTATTTTTTTTTTTTTTGCTGTTCGCATTACGTGGGCTTGACGCTTGGGCTGCAAGTCAATCAATCAATTATTCAATTTGATGGCCAATTAATTTTGCATTATTCGTTTTTCTTCCCTCTCTCTTTCCGTTGTTTGCAGTGCGAATGGCGCCTACCGTCTGCTCGGAGAAGAAGGTGCGCTTGGCGGCCATCAAGGAGGTTCGACGGCGGAACAACATGAGCGCGGCGCAGGCAAATGCTTCGACGTCGGCAGCTGGTGCTGGAGCTGGAGCTGAGATGACACCGAGCAGAGCWGAGCTGAGCTACGGTGAGTAAAACTCTGGACAGTCGCACATGGCGTATGCGTAACACGAACTGAACTTTGCTTCTCCTTTTACCTCAATTCACCCTTTGCGTTTTACGTTTTCCGTTTTGCGTTGTCATTGCTGTTGTTGTTGTTGCCTTTTAAATTATGGCATCCATTTACAGCGTGTTGTTGTTGCCGCTGCTCACGTTTCGCGAACTTGTTTAATTAATTTATGTAAACTTGGCCGGGCAGCACTCTTGTTGGCCATCTTCGGTTGCAGTTCATCGGAATAACAAACACCATGCAGCGCACGTGTGTCGATGTTGTGTACGCTTCACGTGCTCCCAGCTTCATGTTGCCGCCGGTGTTGGTGTTTGGTTTGGCTTGGCTCGTGCCCCAGTTATGGCAACAATTTGCGTCAGCAATGCAACATCCAGCATCCAGCATCGAGCACTGAGGTCTCTTTGCATGCCACATTTATATAAGAGCTCCTTGGGCACATGACTAGATAGCGAATAAAAGCCGATTGTAGTCGACTGCAACAAATGCTGGAAAATTCCTTGAAATTTACGATGCTACAACGAGGCAGAGCAGATTCTGCCATGATGATGCTAAAAATATAGCCAAAGGCAATAGAAGCCACGAAGCGCATTAAATGAACTGGGTTAAGTGGTACAATGAAAATCCTTTTAATGTACCGGAAACTTCAGAGCAAGTTAGAGGGAGAGGGGGAGCGAGAGATGGAGAGGGAAGGATAATAAGAGCGATATAAAGAGTTTACGATTGTAAGCCGCGAAAAGAAAGAGAGAGAAAGATTAGAGAATAGAGAAAAAGAGAACGTCAGAGGGAGACAGAGAGAGAGAGAGAGAGAGAAAGAGGGTGAAAGAGAGAGGTGTAAAGAATGAGATATAAAGAGAGAAAAATTGAGAGTGACAAAGGCGGAGAAAGGCGGAAATTGAGAGCGAGAGTAGTTGAGAGGACTGTATAGCGAAGCAATGAAACGGAGAGGATAGAATGAGAGGGAGACCGAAAGAGAGAGACTGAGAGAGAGAGGGAATGTGAGAGTGAGAGAAAGAGAGTGAGAGAGAGAGATAGATAAAAATAAGGAAGGAAGGGGAAGAAGAGCGTCATGAGATGAGAGAGATTGCAAGACACTAGAATATGTGAGAGCGAGAAAAAGACAGAAATGTATATTGAGAGAGAGAGATAGATAGTGAGAGAGAGAAAGATAAAGATCGTCCGAGGATACGAGGAAATGCCATAGAAAGGCGATACGTATTAATTATTTAAATAAGAGGACAATACGAGCATAGGTTGTACAATGCCATTGAATAGCAATATGTTTTTTTTTTTATATTTTTTTTTAAGAGAAATTATAAAATATATTTAATTACAGCTTAGCATACCGCTATCTAATTGGTAACTTAATCTAAACAGATATCTACATTTACTTAAAAGCTATATTAATATTAATATTATATGCATATATTCTTGACAAATCTGGATGTGTTAGGTCAAGACCCGGTCCAGTAGGTCTTGAGGGTGGTGGCGTTTCAGTCTTCTCCTTATATTTCTACGGTTGACTGCAGAGCCTAGTCGTCTAGCCAAGCTATTTGGATGTACAATAGCAATATGAGAACTAGAAAACTGCAAAGCACAGGCTCATCGTAAGTTTGAAGTGATGATTGAAACTTAATAGATATACCCAGCAGTATATGTGGAAATACGCAAAGTAAACTTAGTTCGAGTTAGAGCACACATCGATCAACGCATCATTGATGTACTGTTCATATTGTGTTCTCAGCAGGGCCCAATCATTCATCATAATGTGACACTAATTGACCAAAAGCTCTTGCATTGCTCATATATTGCCGAAATGGTAAATGCGATAAAAAGCAACACAAACATTTTGCGAGCTGCAGAGCCAAGCGTCTTGAATGAGCTCAATAGCAGAATCTAGCATAAATATTGTATAAGCATTTTATTTTCACAAGAAATATTTCCTACACACGGGTCGTCAGTGTGCGTGTGTGTGTGTGTGTGTGTGTGTGTGTGTGTATAAGTGTGTGAGTGAGTGTCGTAACCTTTATTTTGTTGCCATTTGGCGTGGCACGTTTTCTGTTGCCCTTTCATTTACTGCTGTTGCTGTTGTTGTTACTGTTATAGCAGTAGCTGTTGTTGCTATTGTTGTAGTTGTTGCTGTTGCCACAACTGTGCTACTTTTGCTAGCTTATTTACAATTTTCCCACATTTGTTTGGTTGCTTTTAGCTTTTGCCGACTTGGCTTTTTATAGCCGTGTTTGTTGTTGCAGCGTTTATTGGTGCCATATTCAGCGCAATTATTCCAAATGATTTTTTTGTTGTTCGTATACCCCGTTGTTACATAAATGCCAATGGGGTATATACGCAGGCAAATTGAAAGTCTTTGCTATATAACTTCGTGCTCTAATTACCTAGTGGTCTAAGTCTATTTCAAACGTGTTTTAATAGGCATCTCGTAGTCGCGTGGAACATTTTATCATATGAATCTGGCTTATGATGGGGAGGTTTCCTTCATGTGTCATATTACTTATTAGGCTCTCATTTGTTCCAAGTCTATTTCTAGCTTCGAATGAGCATGTCGCAGTCGCTTTTGTTTAGAAAGCTTTTTGTTTGCTTTATTTGTTATTGATATTTTTTGTTGTTGTTGTTGTTGTTGTTTTTTTCTTTTTTGCTTTGTATTTCCTGCTAATTTCCAGTAACACGTTAAAATGTTGAATACTAAATGGGTGTGACGAAGCCACGTGCAGGCGTCTATGATGCCCTGGACCCGCCGCTTTCCCCTCGCCTGAGTCAACGTAACAGCGTGGCTAACGACAGTGGGTCGCATATGTCTAATATTATTTGCAAATATCAAGAATTGAATTGTTCTGATTTTTAATCAAATTCATTCTTAACTTGAGTTGCATTTGATTGCCCTTAATGAGTGCAATTTGCTCTCTGACTCTGGAACTCTGGAATTCTTTTAATGCCTCGACAGGCTTCACAGAGGTAAACTTAAGTACTTGATAAGGCCTTGGTGATGTGATGTACATAGAGATAAATCAGTTAGCAAATATTACTTTTCTTGTTTGTATGATAAACAAATGAAAATATTTTGTGCTTGAAGCTGGGTAGAAAGACATAAAACGAAGCAGATTTGTTTAAATAAAAAAATAATGTAAATAAAAAAAAAAAAAAAAAATGGAAAACAACAAATTATCAGCATATAGGAAAATATGTAAATATATAACTTAGCTTGAATTATTTCTGTGTAATTTAAATATATATTTATTTATTTTGTTTGTTTCACTTTATTATTCTTTTAAAAAAGTTTGTATTTCTTTTGCATTATTTTTATAAAATTTTCTTTGTGCCTGAATATTTTCTGCATTTATTTTCCACTTGTTTGTCTCACTGTTCGTGGATTCAACTGTGGCCTGTTAGCTTTTATATTTGTAGACATTTGTTGCGACAATAAATGTCGTGCATTTAGAAAGCGGACTCGGAGTCGGCTGGCAACAGCGCCTCATGCTGTGGCTTGAGCATCGCTTGCTTTAATTAAGCATAAATGGTAACTAATTCGATGCGAGGGGTTGGCACGTGTGGCGCGCCGTGTTGGCGCTTGGCGAGGTCACATCGCAACAAACAGCAGCGCGCCAATAAACCCACAGGCCCAAGTACCTCAGACCTCCAGACGTGCGCCAATGTGCGAGAAGTGACAACAACAATGGCTAGTTAAATGTTCATTGACGTAGCGCAGTCGAGCAGTCGCCGACTGTAGGCAAATGTGTTCGTGCGGGCCTCGAGGCTTGCATGTGTCGATGGCGAACAGAACCGGAATATGGCATTGCAGGAAGTAAGCACAGCTGAGCGAGCTCAGCGGCGGCAGTGTGGAGGTGAATAGCAACAACAACAGCAACAACTTGTATCGACAACAATGCAATCTAAATATTTCCGTATTAAATTGTAACTCTTACGTTGTCAGCGTTGTCTCGATTCGAATCGTATCGTAACGCTATGCACATGCTTCAAACACGCATTGAATAGAGCTTATGTGTGTGTGTGTGTGTGTGTGTGTGTGTCTGTGAGTGGAGGGCAACGCTTGATGCAACAGGGTGGCAGTCACGGGGCGTCGAGCAGAGGATTTTCCTTGAATGCGCTGGAATAGCAGCAGTTGTTCTGTGATAGGATTATGTAGCACATGAAGCACATCTATTGTGTTGACAGTTTATATTTCCCCTTATATATTTATTATACCGTGCATAACAATCGGATTGTGCAAGTGAAGAAAACTATGGATATATATAGGTAAACAGCTGTAATTCGAATTTATAATATAAGGAAAAGCAGCTAATAATAACTGAAATAGATATTAATAATAGCTAAAAAATGTGTTCACTATAAATACTGTGCCAATATTTTCTCTATTATTCATCGCATTATTTACCATTATTATCGGGAATATCAACATTATTATGTAGCCTCGTGGTTTGCGAGCTATAAAACCTCTCACATTTCAGAATCGCAGCCGGAAAGTCAATGATTGAGACTCTTAAACAACTCATTTCCTTTGTTCACCTTAAATAGTTTCTATAGGAATTTTCAAGCTCATTATCTGATGATGGTATACTTATATAAATATGTAGTTAACTTCGTTTTAAGCTTTTCCCTTTGATTGAGTCATACGCATTGTTATTATCCAAGAACTGAAGTTACATTATCGTAATAATCGCCTTCATAATAGATTATACCATATATACATTAATATATATACATGTGAAGAATGAGTACAAATATAGTTAATAATTAACTTCAACTTTGCCTTTTAATGTCAATTCAATATAATTAAATATTCTACTATTTTTATACCAAGAACTGGAGTTACATTATGAAAATAATCACATATAATAATAGAATTTTATTTATACAAATATAGTTAACTTCATTTTGACCTTTCGATAATGATTCATTATTGTTCCATATTGTACTATTTTCATACCAAGAACTGAAGTTATATAATGAAAATAATTACATTTATATATTCTCCCGTTACCTGGCCATCGAAGCCTATTCGCTATTCGATTGTATTTTTAGCATTTATGTATATATATATAGCACTTGCAGTGCGTCATCTGCCGGCACACAGACATTTAGACATTCTTTGTTTTAGCCATTGTGTTGCCCCCCAGTGCGACACGCCCTTGGGCCATTGTTCGCTCTCACGTTTCAGAGCACTGGGGCAGCGTATCAGAAACTGCTTTATTTGCGAAAAGCAAACGAAACGCTGAATGCGGTCAGATAGACTCGATTCCAGTCCCCCATCTACACACCCGGCACTGGCTCTGCTGCGGATGGGAAATGTGCAGTGCCATGTGCTCGAAGCTCGAGCCACCCGGCACTCGGCAGCCATCGCCTGACCCTGACCATAGACACACTCGCGGAAACACAAATTGGAATATGATTTGTTCTGAGTGTGTGAAGGGGGAGGGGTATGGGGGCGCACGCTGCTGTATGTCGCTCATGTACTGGCATGTCTCACTCACTGGCTCGTAATTGCAGTCGGAGTCGAGTGTGTGTCGCCCATGATTTGAGCAGTCAGCGACGAGCGCGCCAGATTGATGCGAGGCGCGTCACTATCGCTGATGTCGTTGTTGATTGCTGGCCCTGGCTGTGGTCACGTTTCTTGACACACACAACGAACACACTAATCGTAAACAAACACACACACGCATGTACACATAGACAGTTGACAATGGGCGCATTGGCTGACGGGCAAAAGGCAAAATATTGCAAATAAAATCATGGTAAAAATATCAAAAATAAAATGTACAAAAATAGAATTGTATTAAAATAAAAATATGTACAAATTATTTATAATAAATATATATAACATATGATATATATATATA